CTCTATATTTACAATGAAAATGACTTAGTTTTCTACAAGGCAGAAACAGGTCCGTTGTCAGCAACATTGTCTTTGGCATCACGGTCTGCGCGCGCGGCGTTGCCTGCACGCGCAGTGCTATTGGCATTTGCCTGCGGCTGGGCGCTGGCGAGGGATATCGATGGGATGACAGAGGCACATGCGCGCTTGTCACTTGGCGCAACTAAGACCACGGGGCCGTCCATGGCGCTAGGCATTGGGAGGCTTGCTAGGACGCCACGGGGCGCGCCCAAGGGGTCATGGGGCATGGCAGGAAAACCGCCCATGACAATTCACATGTATTCGCGTCATGTATTCATGAATACAATAACGGCAATCACCTTAAAAATAGGTATGTCCAGTTGTCTAAAAGAGGAAAAACATAAATAGCATATTTCATGCCTCAATGGTAGTATATACTATAAATATTTATTTTGCTATAAAATGTAAAAGGTAGCTATACAAAATAATATTTTAAAATAATTTTGATTTATAATAAATAAGGTGTATACCTTTGCTATAGGAGGTAAAATTTCTCATTAAAATCAGGATTTGGGATATATCATTGTAATCACCGAAGTCTGAAAATATAACAAATTCAAATCTTGGATAACATAATCAAATTCAAAGTATAAGAATTCAAAATGTGGAACTCTGAACAACAGTTCCTATTAAACAACAGTCCAGGAGCTAGCCTCAAGACACTGCTGATTGCTCAATTATCTTATTGAAATGTGAATACAAATAACAACAACAAAATAACGTATGATCGTTCGATCACCTCTTCTTTTAACCCCCAAAAAACACGAATTAATCCGTCCTTAATTCATGATCGCGACGAATATAGCAAATACAGCAACAATCAAAGCGACAAATTTGGAATTAGGAGCAATCCAAGAAGCAGCAGAAGGAGCAGAGCCATTTGGAGAAGAAGGTGAAGGAGAAGGAGATCCCAATTCAGGCAAAACATTGATAGCAACTTTCATTCCCTTTTCACAATGTTTGCCAACTCCACAAATGTACCATTTTTTGCCTGTTGTTTTGAGAGGAATTATATCATTTCCAGAAGTTAAGGGTGTAATATCATTACTTGGTGTGCAGCTTTGGAAAGAAGCTTGATCTGCTTTATACACATTGTGAGCATCTTTCTTGTATTTGAAGACTGCAACCACAAAATTTTTGGTTCAATTAATATCCCTAAATTAAACAGTTAGTCTATCTCATTGCATACAAAATGCACTATTGCATAAAAACACTTTGTCATGTATATATGATGTTTTAATATGATCAACTGAAGTTGAAAAGTTATAATTAAGCAAATAAAAGTGTGCTCTTTCTATAAGTATTAATTTTTTTAGATAAGGTTGTCACACAATTCGATATGGTATCGAAGTAGATGTTGTAGTGAATTCAAGGTCTCACCACCCATTATAAAAAATAATTTTCGTATGTTTGACCATGAAAAGAATTAGGTCCGCACATAAAGGCAGAGGCGCGGATGCAAGATTTCAAGAGGATAGGTGCACTGCTATAAAGAGGTGCTATAAAGAGGTGCATCTAGAATTTACATTTGACGGGTTAAACTTTGTCTCTTACCGTGAACTCACTACAATTTTGAAATTATAGGTTCAAAATTATATTCTTTTTAAAATTGTAGTAAATTTCAAATATATTTATACTTCATACTGAAAACAAGACCATTCGGAGTGGGAACCGTCAATTTCACTTGTAGAGGTGCACCCAAAAAAAATGAAACCATAGGTGTCTTTGAGTATGGGTGCGCACACATATATATCTAAATAATTTTAAAGAAATATAATATTATTATACATGGTTTAAGTCCCTCAAGTTGGATATGCCTATGCATAAAGGGCACGTTCATGAAGATCTAAGTAAATTAAATTGTATTCTATCTAAAACTTAAGTTTTTAAATGAGATTATCATACGTTACAGATGTTATGAGAAGGCTAAAGAACGTACTGAGCTTATCTCCAACATGGAATTCTTTGGTGGCAGCCCAAGCCGTGTAGTTAAAGTCGAGTTTCCAACCTTGATCATCACCAACCCAATGGTCAGTTGCCATTGCTGGAACAGCAACCATTGCAACAACAACAACTAGTGCAATCAAGAAAGTTGTAGAGGCCATTGGGATTGAAAGATTTTTCTTTTTTAAAAAAAAAAAAAATTGGATTATAGAATATTTGTGAAAGCTATAGATGATTTGAAGATGTTGAACCTAGGGACCTATTTATATGTTGTTAATTGCTAGTAAAATTAGTAAACCAGCCGGCTAATAGCGGCATTATAATACTTAAATCTTGACAAAAAAAATAACACCGTCTCTAAGCAAAATTATAAAAGGATACGTTAATTACAATGACCATCTATTGTTTTGGGATTGCTACCTTGTACCGAGATGCCAAATTAATTCCTGCCGAATACTTCATATATCCTCATGCACAATGCTAATTTGATAAATTAAAGCACCTAAAGTTTAAGTCAGCAAGTATATATCCCTTCCACATGGCGAAAATATACTTGATTATTTGAATAAATTTCATAAGTGCAAAAGATTATACACTTTTAGACTCAAAAATAAATTTTTTCTTGATCCATTTACTATTTGCATAAGAGACAACTCATTCAATCACATCGTCCGAGAATTTTTCCAATAGGTAACGATGGACTAGAATAAGAGTAATTAGAATTTGGCTAGGTGATTAATATGCTTTTTAGTGTTTCTTAAGATAAAATGGAGATTATCCTAAGTCATTCCTTAAGATAGATATAAAATCACGAGATAGATGTACGATCTATTTTGCACGTTCTATTCAGTAATTTGCCTATTGGCTTTTCAAGCAAACTACCTTGATTCGCCATCGATTTGGATTTGTTACATCAGAAGCTCATTTCGTAAATATTTAACTCCAATAAAAAGGGGGAAAGTAAGGCCCAAAACTGAAATCTCTTTCCCATTTAATTAATGACGAAAAAAGAAGTAAATAAAAGTGGGGCAAGTGCATAGATAGCTATTTTCAGAGATGCTATTTTTAGATTAGCCAATACTTATTTTAATATTTTAAGCTAAAAATCTTAATTTCGGAACAACTCGTGACATTTTTGTCCTAAAAAATTAAAATTCAGGATGCACCGGTTAATTTCTAAATAAAAGCCCTTTAAAGTGGCTATCTGGTGTCATTTCTACAATAAAAGTGGAGCAAGTGCCTACAAAAGTTGGAGGCATAAACTAGACTAGGCCTTATCAACAAAAAACAGTTATTGGATTGTTTGAAAGGTCCATATTACTACAACATTTTGAGCCCAATTCTTCACGTACAAGTCCATCCTTAACCAAAAATTTGCAGAAATATGACACTTTTTTAGGTGATCCTTACACTTTTGACCCCTGCTTATCCCATGAGCAGAACTTTAAGGTCAAAAGTTAAAAGTATTGCGCATGGGATAAGCGAGGGGAAACACTTATTAAAATTGAAGTTCTGCTGATCGGGAAACCAGGGACAAAAATGGAAAACCATCCACTCTGAGGGCTATTTGTGTACTTCACCCATCCTTAACTAGGGGACTAGGGGTGGGACTAGAGGGTGCAAGGGGTTTCCCCTTTGCTGGAAATACATCATATGCCTAAGCTGGAATTTGGATATACTGCATGATGCTAAAAATATAAGTTATACCAATGTTTTAAAAAGATTTAATTTAGGTGTATGCTCAATAAAGACTCTCAAGTGAAACTTCACCACTCATACCATGAGGCTATATTGGCTGCTGGTGCTGTGGCCAAGCATTGAATGGACCATGATGAACAATTCAAAATACATATCACAGAGGGCATGTGATATGTGTTTAGACAAGTTCCTCTAATTTTATTTATCGCATGGGGAACCCGGTACAGGGAAGGATGATAATAGATGTTTCTAAAATAGGAGCAGAACTATGTGGTCTAAAGGGGTTCAAATTAGATCTTCTTAGTCAAGAAATTATTGGAATTTTTTCACTTTTAGCCCACACCAGAAACTCTTTACATTTGGTAGCCTAACAAGTATATAAAATTTGTATATATAACATACAGAATGTATATATATACAAAAAAAATATACGTTTTTCGGCTATTATTTTGAGAGCGGTTATACAATATCGTTTTTCCAAAATTATACTGTGCAAAACTGCAAATAGGATGAAACTAAAGCTTTTGGTGTATATATAAATTATTGAATCTGCTTAATGAAGCTTCTATGGATAGAACAAGTATTCCTTTAGATCGTAGGTTCGAATCCCTTATATTCTGGTCTAGTATAAATTTTGATCTAGTATTCTTGCGATATTTGAAGTTCCCTTATGAAGAATTTCTGGCTCCGCCACGGATCTAAAACGTATATTCTGCGAAAATTTTGACCCATAGGCTATGACAATAGGTGGGGTCGTCAGGGGCAGAGCTAGCATGCAGGATACGGGTTTGGACGAACCTAGTATTTTGGTCCAAACTTTGTATTTGTCTTAAGAAATCTATTAAATATGTACAGATTATCAATTTAGAACCCAGTATCTTAAACGGACTACAATCCCGAACCCATAAACTTTAAATCTTGACTTCACCTCCGGTGGTAGTAATCAAGATTCAATTACCATTTGAACACACTTCCTTATGGCCAATGTTACATTTTTGCTAGCTAAAGCACCCTAGTTGTGAGGCAAGTCCATAACCAATGCCACTTTCTTATTACACTGACCCTTCTAATTTTTGGTTTAGACCCGTGAAATGCAAGAAACTGTGCCTCTCAAATGCAGAACATCACTTATTTTTTCCAAACCATAAAATTAGACATTGTCATATTCAATACCTCTATGTAATGGTTTCTTTATAAACCACAAATTGCTTGTTGAAGTCATCCTCACGAGAAACCCCACTAAAAAGCTACAACTTTTTCACATTAACTAGCTACTATTTCCACTTAATCATCCGAGTTGATAACCACCACCTACAAAAGTTCTTTTTCACATTTCTCGTGATCCTTCCCATGTTTGACAAACCATAAAAAATGCACGTAAAAAAAGTTTATTATACCAGGAAATAAAGAATACTAATATTCTGTCAACTTATCGTTAACTACAGAAGGCTCGGGGGCAAAATGAATGTAGGATCAAATTCTGTAGGAAACCATCTAGTTGACATTCATGAAGTTTTGCATGAAGAGGAAGAAGACAAGGAAGAAAACAGCAACACATCTAATATGGCTGATAAATCAGACAAGCGATTCAACAGGCCTACGAAAAATAGAGAAATAAAAAGGACCCCTAGGAATTTCAGTAGGCAAGTGTCATTAGAAACAGGCTTCTCTGTACTCAATGGAGAGACATCTAAAGATAAAAATGAGAGAAAAGTACTTGGAAGAAGTGGAAAGAGTTTTGGAGGATTTGGTGTTGATGGAACTGGTATTGAAGCAAGAAATAAAGGAGATTTCAGTATGTTCAGGACTAAATCTACTCTTGTTAGACAATCATCAAAGATAACACTTAGAAAAGATAGTGGAATTGATCTTCAGAATAATAATGTTAAAGGAGGAATTGATGAAAATGTCAATAAGAGTGTACCTGCTGGAAGATACTTTGATGCCCTTAGAGGACCTGAACTTGATCAAGTCAAGGTATTTATCAACTTCATTTCCAAAACTTTAACAATGAATGCATAAAATTGTTATGGTTTTAACATATATACCGTGCGTGACGGACGGGAGCCTTGGAGCAACGGTAAAGTTGTCTCCGTGTGACCGGTCACGATTTCGATATGTGGAAGCAGCCACTAATGCTTGCAATAGGATAGGTTGTTTACATCACATCCCTTTAGGTGCGGTACTTCCCCGAATCCTGCGTGGGTCCGGGATGCCTTGTGCACCGCAATGCCCTTTTTTTACACTGGCAATTTAAAGAATTTTACACTTTTCAATGTATTTTAACGTGGAGTTGAGGGTCAATCGGAAACAACCTTTCTATCTACCAGGTAAGGGTAAGATCTGCGTACACACTACCCTCCCCAGACCCCGCTTGTGGGATTAGACAGGGTTTGTTGTTGTTGTTTTTGTTGTTGTAATGTATTTTAACTTGTTATAGCAGGTAACATAACATTATTTTCCAGGTTATCATCCCATTTTTTATGGATGGATACTTGTAGTTATCTTTCAGATGTCTAGTGTGCATTATTTTGCATTGTCAGTGCATAGATGTTAACTCAGTTGTTATTCAGCATTACTATCTTTTCTGCAGGATTCTGAGGATATTCTTCTTCCAAAAGATGAAAAATGGCCTTTCCTGCTCAGGTTCCCTATTGGATGCTTTGGTATCTGCCTAGGTCTTAGCAGTCAAGCCATCCTCTGGCGTTCTCTTGCTCTAAGTCCTGCCACCAAATTCCTCCATGTTCCACTTTTCATTAACTTTGTGATTTGGCTGTTAGGTGTGGGGATTCTAGTTGCAGTTTTCACAACCTACATGTTCAAATGTGCACTTTACTTTGAAGCTATAAGGAGAGAATACTCTCATCCAGTGAGGGTCAACTTCTTTTTTGCTCCATGGATTGTCTGCATGTTTTTAGCCATAGGTACACCACCTAAAATAGCACGAGACACTCTTCACCCTGCCATCTGGTGTGTATTCATAGCCCCTATCTTCTTCCTCAATCTCAAAATCTATGGCCAATGGCTTTCGGGGGGGAAAAGGCGTCTTTCTAAAGTAGCCAACCCATCTTCTCATTTGTCTGTAATTGGAAATTTTGTGGGAGCCATTTTGGCTGCTAAAGTGGGATGGAAGGAGCCTGGCAAGTTCTTGTGGGCTATTGGCTTTGCACATTACCTTGTGGTGTTTGTCACATTATATCAAAGGTTGCCAACAAGCGAAGCATTGCCTAAGGAATTGCACCCTGTTTATTCCATGTTCATTGCAACTCCAGCTGCAGCTAGCATTGCTTGGGGTGCTATTTATGATGAATTTGATGGCTTGGCAAGGACATGCTACTTCATTTCATTATTTCTCTACTTGTCGTTGGTTGTACGTCCCAACTTCTTCAGAGGATTCAGGTCACTTTCTTATCCTTGAAACATAAGAGAACAGGCAAAAAAGTTTAAAAATTTGAGTTACTAA